GGTGCTCAGACCTGAAACAGGCGGCGATCCACTTGTTTAAAAGGTCAGGCTTCCTTTATTTCAGTGGACATTGATGACTGTCAGGCCCCCTGCCCCGAACATGCTGCCGGGAGACATCGTACGGCAGCCGGTCCTGCTGGTGGCGTTTCACCACTATCATGGGAGGGCCGATACTAGTGAAACTCGTCTTAGCTTGTGAATAAACAAGCCAGTTTTAATGAGCATTATGATGTGAAGAAAAAGAAATGTAATTTGTAGTGCATTATTACTGATTTACAATTTGAGCTTTTAGTTATGAGAGTTGTAATGTATGTGTAAACTGGACAAAGAGTGAATTGCAAGAACAAAGTTGTAGAATGTAGGGACCCTGACAGGCAGCTCTGATAACATGCATCAAATGCATTGATGAGTAAACTACATTGAACAGGAATTTCCACCCGTTGTTGCTGGTACTGGATCATGGGACTCTGAAGTTCTCCAGATATAGCATTAGGCGCATCTGCACACCCTTAATGGGGGTGTCACACTTCCCACATTACCTCAGAACTGCTAAAAACCAGGATAAAATAAAAACAGCACTATAACATTGCAGGTACACCTAGTTTCATTCTTTCAGCCTTCTTTGTATGATCATTTATATGGATACGTGTCCTACCTTGGTTTCACTGCCAAAACAGCTGGTTAACACTAGTGGAATTTGCTGCCTAGTCATTCTCTTGCTATTTTTTTAATGACAAGCTTCAACCAGTGAAATAGACATTGGGAAAAAATAATTATCTTTGAAATGGTTGGGTAGGGATGTGGGGCAAGCTGTTGCATGGTTATATACCTTTCCAGAAGGAGAGGTACTGACTTGAAGGTTGAGCTTGTATGCCTGTCTGCATGCTTGTGGAAGTGCATTGCTGTGTGCATGGAGAGCTTGGCTAATACTGTGAAAGCGCTGCTTCTGATCGACCAGGAAACAGGCTCCAGAAAACTCTTTTTTTTTTTTTTGCCTGCTGGTGAGTAGTACAGATAGTGCAGCTTTCCAGGACGCCCTGGAATTGTTTCTCTAACTAGTAGGTATGGGGCATGTGGAGAAACGAGGACATGTAGGTGACCCCGTGACTTCACTCTCTCTTCAGGAATGCCCGGTATATACAGCCAGGGGATGGTGCCTATGGCAATGCCTGCCGTGTCTGCGCCCGCTCAACAGGGCGCCCCCTGCAGCGAGGAGGACCTCAAGGCATTGCAGGACATGTTCCCCAACTTGGACAGGGAGGTTGTCCGCACTGTGTTGGAGGCCCAGCAGGGAAACAAGGACACCGCCATCAACTCCCTACTTCAGATGACTGAGGAACTGTAACGGCCTTCTAACCAACTCTTACTGCAGCCACCTGTACATACTTCTACTGTATATGTGTACTTATGTGTACTTGCGTCCGTGTGTTTGATAATAATGTAGATGTATAAATATAGTTATATATATATATATATATATATATATTTAAAAGGGTATCATTTATTTAATACATGCTAAAGGATCATTGGGTATGGGCTATAGTGGAAGTAGGAGGATGTCGTGCTGAGTGGAGGTGGGGGGGGGGAGCCGCCAAAATTTAGACAACTCAGATTGCCACTGAACGAAACAACGGGTGCCGTCGTTAGCCATTACACAACACTGTCACTGATGTAATAATGGTCTTTTCTACCACTGCAGTTGCTCTGTATCCTGTGTATTATCCGCTGACTCTAACCAAATACGCACGTCAGGCTTCATCACGGTCTGAGCTGAACTGTCACTAACCAGAGCGCATGGATGCTCCCGCTCATTGTTATGGAGTGTGTGAATATTGCAGTCTGCCAAAGGTTTTATTTGCTGTGTATTCACATGGTCTCGAAATATGATTGGGGGGGGTGGGGGGTTGGCCCTGTCTTTAAGAGAGATGAGTTTTTTGTGATTGTTGGTTTTTCTGCTGGCGCGCTTCACTGTGATCGAATTTTCTTTCTCCCCTGGATCAGCCGACGAGACCCTTTGGAACAGATAGACCGTTACTGCCATTTCTTTTCTCATTTTTCCTCAGTTGAATCACAAAAGCAATAAGCACACAGGTAATTTGGGGCTTCTTGTGCAGGAAATGAAAATGTAATAATCACCAAGTGGAGAAAGCCAAACGTAACCTTTTTTCGTTGGGGTTTGCAGGAGAAAGTACTGGATTATTTTGTATGCTGTCTGTGTCCTGTGTGGGTTAATTTGCCACCAGTAACTACGTTCACATTCTCAGCTATTAGCTAAAGGAAAATCTGAACAGGTTTGTTGATTCTGCTATTGTGGGAAAAAAGAAGAGTTATTGCTGATACTCAGACTATGCTCATGCTCAAAATGATCGGATTTTCTTCTTTTGTGTACCAGAGAAAGAAACTAGCTTAAGTACAAGATGGACTATACAAAATGTACATACCGGTGCCATTACCTTCAAGCCAGTTTTTGGAGGCTGTTATAGACTTTTTGTGTCAGTTACAGACGTGGTTCGCAAAAAAGGAAGATGGCTCTAGCATTATTGAACTAAGATGTATAGGGGGGGGGGGTGACCAAATCTGACCTGTAATATGAGAAAGGGATCAAACAAGTAATTGGGATTAAATGTACTTTTATCTTGCTTTACTGTCTTTAAAATATCTTGTTCTCTTTTACTTTAAAAATCAATTGAGCAGATAAAGAATAAAGGTAAATGTTCCACCAAGATGATTTTAATTATTTGTATTTTTAATTAGGGTTGTATCATGCTTATGTTTTCTGCATAGGAATGGGGAGCATCTTATACTAGATAAGCAGTTTGAAGGTGGGTGGGTGGGTGCAATAATTACAAGATAATGATTACAATTAAGTAGAATGATATTGATTATCAGTTTCAATAATAATACCAGTCATAATAATTATAAAGCCGATAAGAATAACTGGTGTAACCGCCCATTGTATTTTAAAATGATTGTTATTTTTAGAAAAGGCCCTTGAATTTGGAAGGTCGCTCTCCAGGAGAATGATGATGCCCCCAGCTTCCCATTCCTAGGTGCTGTGTTGCGGTATATGATGTGTGTGTCGGTGTGGATCAGCATGTCGGTGTCAACGAGTAACAGAAGCTGGCAGCTCCTCAGCTGTATCACTGAGTGCCACCTTGTGTTTCAGGAAGCGGCTCCTCAGCCAGACCGCGGGAATATTCTATTTTTGAGCCTACAAAGGCAAAATAAATCCACTCCACCTACTTAATCTAATAAAAATTTACAGCACAGGCAGCCAAAGAAGATGATGTTTAACTGATTTTCATGTTGGTGTAAAACTATTTCAGTTTAGCCATTTCAAAACCTCACTACGGTATTTTCAGCAAACATCCAATACACCAATGTGTTTTTTGACCACTACCCTACCTTGTTTGGCTAGTCAATTCCTCATTGAGTTTTAACTAGTTAAGTGAATTGACTAATTGAGCTGGTTTTGAAATTCAACGGATACATGGAATGGTGGGTGATGGGTGGCATGGTGGGGCAGTGGTTAGCACTGTTGCCTCACACCTCTGGGACCAGGGGTTGAGTCTCTGTCACGGCTCCATGTGTGTGGAGTTTGCATGTTCTCCCTGTGTTTTCGTGGGGTTTCCTCCAGGTTCTCCAGTTTCCCTCCCCCCACAAACCAAAATCATGCTGAGGTTAACTGGAGCTACCAAATTGTCTGTAGGTGTGCATGTGTGAGTCAATGGTGTGTGACTGTGCCCTGTGATGGGTTGGCGCCCCATCCTAGGTTGTTCCCTGGCTTGTGCCCATCGTCTCCAGGATCGGTTCTCGACCCCCCGTGACCCTGAATAGGGTAAGTGGTTACAGAAAATGGATGGATGGAATGATTGAGGTGCCCCTGAGGAGTGGTTTGGGAACCAAAGTGATGTATCAGTAACTTTTTGGAGAACAGGAGAAATTCTTGTTTATGGATATGTTTTATGCATAAGATTTGAGCTAAAGGGAATGGGGAACCTGAAATATGAGAAAGGGATCAAACATGTAATTGGGATTAATTGGGCTTTTCTTTTGCTTTACTGTCTTTAAAATATCATCTTTTACTTTAAAATCAGTTGAGCAGATAAAGAATAAAGGTAAATATTCCACCAAAATTATTTTAATTATATTTAATCAGGGTTATATTATGCTTATGTTTTATGCAAATATACACTTAATACCCAGATAAAAAGTCTTTGCTTGCTTAAGACTTTTGCATGGTACTGTATTTGATTACTTCTCTGCATTCAATGTTTTCCGTTTTCTAATTACCAACATTGTGTGTCAGTAGGTCTTGCGTTACTTTCCTCGTTAAAGCAGCAGTGTCTATCTCCACCAACAAGGAATAAGGGGAATAAGGACATATTGTGTAAGTCGATGCTTCTGTAATAGTCAGCCAAAAGAAATTAAGGAACATTAACTACAGTGAACATACGGGTGAATCCAATTTGTGTAACTAAACCCTGAAAGTGTGGTAATCTGCATATCCAGGAAACGTTCATTTTGACCATTCAAACATCTAGATGAAACAATTGATGCTTTAAAACTTTTTTAACCTTGCCTACCAGAAAAATAAAAAATAGACCATTTTGGTTCGTTCTCCATTCTGTTATGTTCTAACAATTTAACAACAATTGGAGATACAAAATTCAGACTGATTAATAAAAAATCCAATCCTGATAAGACTTCCTTTTTATGTAGAGGCCATAATAAAGGCACTTCTTAATATTATAAAAGTCTGGGAGGAGACAGGTAACTGCAAAGAGGTGCAGACTGATGTCTTGGTATTTTGTAACGTTGTACACGTTGGTATTTTGTAACGTTTTGTAATCTGTTGTACACGCTAAAACCTCAATCCGGGATTAAAACAGTGGATAAATATAGACTGCAATCAGCCCACAGTCACACTGATGGCTATTCCGATGACCACACCCAGAACAGGCTCTGCAGAGCAAGTAGAAGATCACCTACACAAATAGTGCCGAGTTTCAAGTTTTATTATAGACAGAAGTTGGTAGGATCTAGAGGTACAGCTCTCCGGTAATGTACCTTTAAGAGTCTGTGGCTTTCTAGTAGTGTGGGTTTGGGAATCAGCAGAATCTATAAACAAAATCACAAAATATTCCCATTGGGAACATATGCTGACATCAGCGGTTTCCTCTGCAGTTCTTTAGGGATCTTCCTGAGAGAAACACTTCTTGATACCTTTGTCAGCTGGCATAAGTTAACATCCACTAAGTAAAGTGCAGATCGCCCTGAGGTTTATGCTCCTATATCCACACAGGATATATGGTTTCCATGTGGTCCCTGTGTAAGGTGTAATTATGTTTACATGTGACAATACCTACTGTATGTGTCTGCATTAGAAGCCAGTAACAGTATTACTGGATGCGTCTGTTCACAGCACACTGCATTTATATGGATTAAAGCAAAACAAAATGACCAGGCAGTACAGGTCAAATAATTTAAGCCCATAAAGCCAGTTCTGTTGAATGATCATATGTAGTTATTATTACAGCTAACACGTCTGAAAGCCCTAAGCCCTCTTACTTAAACATACACAGACTGCTGATCCCATAAAAGAAAGAACCTTTGTATTTTGTGCTAACATTGACAGTTTTCTACAGCCAAGAAGAATTCAAACTCTTTATTCTAAAAATATATAAAAATATATTTACTGGGCCACACTGCTAGTTTACCGTCCATATCTAAACATTGAATTGAAAACCAACAACATCTCCAAAAAAAGGTGCCTAAAATTACAACTCTGTTCACTTTCAGTTAGAGTTCAATTTTGGGGATATCTTAGGGTTTCATTTCCTCTCATTGAGCATGTCGCCAGAGACAAAAAAAATATTTGAGGCCATTAAATGGTGTCAACAACCATGCTTTGAAAGAGACTGATTTTACTCAAACCAGCATTTAACAACTTAGCCTCCTTCCAGGAAAGTGTGTCACCATTTCTGTTTGTTGGGGACGAATCGATCCTTTTTCGTTTTTCAGTCTGCTTCACGTACTCAGCGGTGTCCATCTTGGCAGTTTTTCAGGGCACGCTAGCCTGGTCAGTGTTCTTCGCCATCCCTGTATCCACGTTCAGGTTTGGCTCGTCCCGTCCCAATAAGAAAGTCTCCACCCGCTCCCTCCTGCTCTGTGCCGTGCGATCCTCACTGTCGCGCTCGAGCAAAGGCGTCTCGTAGCCAGGTGGAATCCTCGTAGAGCCGTGGATCACCCAGGTACTCCGCGGTGCGCTTGTAGAAGTAGTAATACAGCACAGCCGCTGTGCATAAACAATGACGTTAATAAAACACGAATGCGCTCCATACTGCAAACACATTGTCATTAATAAAGATTTTGATAACATACTAAAATGCAGAAGTGTTAAAGACATAAGTGTTTGGTCTACATAGTGTATGCATAAATATATAAAGTGACAGGCTTACAGTGCACACTTTTGCCAACCAAGGTAATTGTGACTATATTCCACCAGATTCAGCTTCTGCTGCGACTGCTCATTATGTTAATGAGATATGATGGTGTAAATTTCACACAGAGCAAACAACATAGTCTGAAACCTATGTGAGGGAGCACAAGGCATTAGGAAGGGGACACCTAAACAGGAAGCCAGTCCATCACAAAGCGCAAACACCCAGCAAGTGCAATTAGGAGACACCAGCTATAACCACCATCTTACACCAAGTATGGGTGAAATCCCAAGGACACATGGAGGGAATATGCAAAAAAGCACACAACCAAGGTGGGAATTAAAATATATCCAGACATGAACTTTAGAAAGACTTCAGACATCAGAGGTGTTTTCTGGAAGAAATGCAAACAGCTGTGTGACACTGCCAATGCGATCTATGCACTTTCTGTGTTACATGACAGCCAATACAGCCAATAAGATGCAGGCATTGTGTGCCTGTGTAAAGTGGTCAATGTGTGAGATGTAATGCATTGTAAGATACAGCAGTATTACTTACACAGTCGCTGGAAGACGAACAGCACCTGTAGCCCATCTGTCCAAACGAAGCGATTTGAGTCCAGCCAGCGTAAATTCTATTCAAAATTAACATAGAAAATACAGGAGAGAAACAATGTGAACTGAAAGTTGGCTTGATCAAAAAATTGTACAACAGGATTATTCCATTTAGTTAGCAATGAATGCATTTTGTTGTGCGTTTCCCATTTCAATATCATGGTCTACTACCCACACCGTTTTTAGTATCCTACAAACATGAATGCACCCCTCTCCTATAATATATGCTTGCTAATCTGGAACATAGCCTGAACACACCCACACACAGACAAACGAAAACAGCAACGATTCCTCCAAACAACAAGCCAATAAGTCCTGCTGGCACCATCTAGGTGGTTTTCAGTACCATGATCCAGCAGTGGAAGGAGATGCTGAGGCTCAGGTAGAGGGCAGAGAGGAGCAGCAGGGCCCGGAAGCGCTCCAGCAGCAGTGAAACCAGGCCCACCTGGAACACGTAGGTGTTGAACATCATGAGCAGAATGATGATCACATTGAAGAGGATGGCGATGTCCTGGATGCTGAAACACGGAAAAGCAGAGGGACCATGAGCCATGAAGCAGGATTAGCCAAGACATTCTACCCAACTATACTGTCACAGTCAAAATGTAGTCAAAACTTTAATCCTCTTTAGATTTTGTCAGTAGTAAAGGCTGGTTCATACTTTTCCGCATGCGTCCATGTGAACTATTATGACGCGTTTTATATCATCGTGTGCCTCTGCATGAACGCATGTTGCACTCCGTTGCATGTTGTGCGCATGTGCAAAGTGGGCGGCTTAACCGGAGAAGTGTGAACCTTTCCTTGTCTGCGCACACTGTGTGGATGCGTGAATGTTGCGCGTGTGCGGAGAAACATGAGCCAGCCTTAATAGTCTAAAGGACACCAATCAAATAACCGCAACAATGACACAATAACAAACAGAGGGTGAAGGTTACAGGCACAGCTGAAGCACATAGGCTAACAGAGGGATAAAGAAGATTAACATATTATACAGATTGCATTGTCAAAGCTCACTCAAAGCCCTACAATATCCATCTAACTTCTAGCAGAAGCCCATTTTTCACCCTGTTAACACCCTGATAGCTTTTTCTTAGGCACTGTCAGTTTGAAAGGGCCAACAATGTTAGTGTCAAAGCATGGGTGACACCAATAATGAATGCATCTAAGGTGACACCTTCAGGAAATCATAATCCATCAGGACCTCACTTAAAAATGGAAGCAGTAGTGTTTTTGTGGGTTTATTTTCATGTAAAAGATAAGACTCTCATGGGGTCATTCATAGGAATGAAAACTGGTTATTTAAGCCGTCCATGGCCTCTAGCCCTGACCCCAATGGTCAGATGGATAAGGACCTGTAATGCTGTATGCCAACATCAGCATCGACTCGCTACCTTGTGCTAGTACCTTCCACACGCACTGCCTCTCTTTGTTACCCCTAACACAGCCTGGTGACATTCAGTATCCCAAAGCAAACTGAGTGACAGGCGGACACCTTATAAATACAGAAAGCTACATTCAAGTTAAGCCCAGGATTGCTATCTTATTGTGTCCCTTTTGTCCAACAGAACCTGTTTCTACATTTCCAACACTACAAATGTCAGCTGTTAATGTGGATACTATACAAAGATACAGGTCCAGAACTAATACCATTAACTCATATCAACAGTGACATAGATTCTGCTTTAATGATCATTTCCACATCTATATTAATGTCACGATTATCACATCTAGTCTTGCTTACCCCTAAGTTAGGCAGGGGAGGAACGAAACCCATCTGAGCAAGGATGTAACAGAATCAGAAATCAGAGTAAATTTACCTATTCACTGGACATTCGCCTAAGCCCCTCCCCCATTCCCGCCCTTTCGCCCCTGCAGACTCACATGAAGAGCACTAGCTGAATGACAGGCGCGGCCCTCAGCAGCTCGCTAAAGGAGTTGACGAAGAGGTCATAGGCCAGCAGAACCAGCTGGATCAGCAGCACCAGTGAGTAGTTGTTGGTCTGAAGCATCTCTGCACTGAAGCCGCATGCCAGTACGTCACTGGGGATCCTGAAGCATCTGCTGGGGCAAGTTCATAGGTTTCAGCACCAGTTGCTTCTCAGAACATAAATGGATGCATATACATACCTGGTCTAATATGAATGGTCTGCCCTTGTTTGGGGGGGGGGGGTGGATAGGGCAAAATCAAATCCATAATTGAGTCAAATACACCTTAGACATATTCTTATGCTGCAGCTTCAGTCGAGAACACTAGATGTGTATGTGCATGATTGTATGTATGTGTTTGTGTGTTTGATGCCAGGCAAACAAAACTCACCAGCCTGATATCAGCCATAACAAAAGAATCAGGATGCCAGCTTTAGGACCATGGAGAAGCTAAAAGAGGGAAAATATACAATAATATCAAAGTGCCTGCTGTTCACAAAACTGTGAAGTATGCCTACATCTGGATGTGGTCAACCATAATCTCTTTAATAGAAATTGCAGGATCTAAAATCTTCCACTTAAAAAGCATGTAAATACTAATAAAAAAAAAGATAAGCATACAGATTAACAGAACCTGTGACTGGCCTCAAGTTTTCCATATAGAAATACTGCAGAAACCAAAATCTAAAGGCGAAAGGAAACAAGCAACAAATCTTGCACCAGCTTTTCACATCCACTTACTTTCAGCTTACAAGGTCCTTCCGGGAGTACTTTACGTTTTATTTAATGGCGCTTTGAAGAAAAAGAAAAAAAACCTCATGTCAAGAGAACACCGCGTCAGCAGCACATCTCTCATAGTAAGATCAGTGAAATCACAGCTCCATTGAACCCCGAGTGAGACTAGGAGTGGTCCTCCTACTTGGACTCAGCGTGGCATGGGATACAGTGGTAATTAACCAGTTACTACAGATGGTTAGTACAAATAACAGGAACAGAACAGTGTTAGGAGGTGCACGTGGACAGCGCGAAAGGGATTATGCCCAGCTGCACCGACTAGAAAGCCACAAATATTTCTGAAGAAGCATTAGACAAATTCAAAAATGGTATGATAATCCGATTGTAGGACAACGGCTCTATAACTCATATTTGATAAGGTACTCGGAACAGATTTCCAATTTCCAAACAAATACGCTACATAAATATTTATTAAATCACTAAAGCTAGTGTTAACAGTCTACTATGTTAGGTATCGTTTACGAAGAGATAGTTGTTAAATTTTATCTACATTAATAGTAGCTAGCTATGTCTGGACAGTGAAAATAAACAAATGAAAGCTTAGGTGACTTGCTGCCAAGAAGAAAGCCAATGGCACAGAGTGGATTATAGAATAGAGATTAAAGCCTATAATAATGTTGCCGTTGTTCAAAAATCTACGTACCATAAATTTTTACCTTAAGTGCGGCTTTCATTTAGCGCTTTGTGTTTTGCAGTTAATGGTCCCCGCATGACCGTCGCCCACCGTTAGCTCGCGGCGACCTCCTCCAGGGTTCCGCCCAGCGTCTCCATAGAAACGAAGCTTTTCCGCTGCCGTAATCCACGTAGAAAGCGCTCAGATATTGCTAACTCGTGACGAAGTACGATGTAATACATCGATCAGATAACATTTTACTTGACGGGGTACAAATAATATAGTATTACGCTGATACTTATGTATTAACCACAAACTAAGTCTTAGTTACATACAGATCTCATGTAAATTCATAAATAATAAATTGTGACGCATGTTTTATTCTAAGAAATTACTGTATTTGTTACTATATGTTAATTCTGTAAACCTTTCTGAACTACTGAAGGAACTACACTGAAGGAACAAGTCATGAATAACATAGTTTAAGTATTGGTCATATTTGTTCATCATTAGTGAATCATGATGCAACTTTTATCCCAAGCAGTTACTATATATATATTGGTTGCTACATCTGTTAATACTGTAAACTACTTAAGGAACTACTAAGGAACTGCTTAAGGAACAAGTAATGAATAACACAAGTGAAACACCGACCTAATGTTTGTTCATTAATGAATCGTGACGTATCTTTTGTCAAGTAGCAACTATTTGTTCAATATCTGTTCATGATTTGTACTTCGGTAGTAACTGAGTTATTACTATGTATTTATGCCCCGTCAAGTAAAGTGCTACCCATTGCTTTTGTATAATTACAGTAACATTTTGAAACAATTTGATAACCAATTTATATAACAAGAGTCAATAAAGTTAGAAAATGTTAATGGCGCATCTTCCAATAAAACTGACAATGCCTTGTGTAATATTTTTTTAACCTGACAAATTAAACGTGAAATATTTTATAAAACTTTTATGCGCATATGTACCCTACATTACGGCAACGCTTGTGTGACGCTAGTGCTTATGCATTCAGCTCCGGGTAGAAGCACACTTGTAAAGCGCCGTTCCAAATCACAATTGTATAGTGTTATTAATGTCTATGCGAAACGGCCGTTTCCAACGTGGGTGAATTCTGTAGCACCTTTGGTCTATAGGACGGTATATCAACTAACCTTTGCTTAACATTTCAGTGTGTTAAGCAAAATACTACCACCTAGTGGGAACACATAGTTATTAAAAACTTAATTGTTTTATATGTTAAGGGATAATCGTGAAAGCTATTTGCTTTCATTCTCCTTTTTTTATTTTAACGATGTCTTCCTAAACTATAAAACCAACATTGTAAACTAGTCTATGGTTAGTGCAGTTTCGTGTTTAGTTATTAATTTAGGTTCTGCCGTTTTCTTAAAGGGGTTTTACTATTGTATGGTACATGAAACGATGTACGTCAGCACGAAGTAACACCTGCATAAGGAGCATGAAGGAGACGGCGGCAGACAGACGGACGAGCGTCTGAAAGGCACCTGCTGCAGACACGCCGTCACGCCGACGGTCAGTATGGTGCGCTTTGGTTTTCGGGCTGGTTTGCTTTTCATTTAACAGACATTCCTTCACTTAAACGACTCGTTTCTTGTTTCTAATGAGAAAGCAATCCGGAACTACGCGTGGAATCGGGTGAGGACGTCGTCCGAAGTTGTTTGTTCCAGTAATTTTAGACGGGAGCGGGTATTTTCATTGTGTTGTACCATTGGGCAAAATACCTCTACTTACCTGTACGATATTCGTAATTAGTAATATAATTTGGCCTTTTTAAAATTTGATAAAAGTAGTCATTTTGAATTTGACCTATTTGCTTTTTTGGAGAATGAGAACATGTGTGTCAAATTAATTCAAATCTATAGTGGTTCCTTTTACACATTATGTTATCTGTCTCAACGCTATATAAAAATGCTTAAAATTTAAATATCGTTTGAGTTGCATGTGTTTCAGGGGGGATCTAAAATGCGTTTTCTTGAATGCAGTAGAAGTTTAACTTGGAAAAACAGAGGCGTTACACACAGACATTAAACATTAAGCAATGTTATTTGGGTTAAAAGTTACTTGCTCCGGGTTATTGAATCTGAATAGAAAACAGAAATTGCTGCATTTATTAAATCACTGTCCTGATTCAGTAGCTAGTCTAAGACTCAATTATGTTCCTACGATGAACAATCCAAATACCCATTTACTGGCAAAGGTTACTTATACCGTATAGAGCTGCAGAATTATTATTATGATTTATTATTATTATTATTATTATTATTATTATTATTATTATTATTATTATTAGCTTATTACCGGAGCACTGGAGCACTGACCAGAATAAATAAGTGAATGGATGGATATAAAGTGATATAAAATATCAACCGAATCATTGATCAGCCCTAACTTGTCGTTCATTTCATGTGCATAAACAAAGCAAATAATCTCACTCAGAATTTCTCTCACACACTCAGCACAGTTTGGGTTTGTAGCTTTTAACATCTAGATGAAGAGGTCTGTCGCATTTTAAGTAGCACCTGATTTATACCTGAAACACTAAGTGATGATTTTTAATAAAGCCTTACAATTTGTGGTCGGGACAGACCCAGAACAGCCTGCTGCACCAGACCTCTGCTCTTCTCTGATACTGGTCATTATTTCCTGCCCAACCAAACCTAATTAAGGGGAAATATCACCTATCCTAATTTCTAGGACAGGCAGATGCAGCATCCTCTATAATCAAGAAATAATATAGAAAAGAGACTTTCATACGGCCACTGATATCCCAGATCCATATTGTGGCCTAGCGCTGTAAAGTTGATGGTACACAGTGAAAGTATCTTGTTTGTCATGGTTTTGTGACCATTTGTGAACTTTTTTTTTGGGGGGGGGACTGGATAAGAGTGAGGTTAGTGCTGGTAGACATGTCATATTTAATGCCTGATGTTTCGCGCATCAGTAATGGTTAATGCATGTCACTCCACACGTGTAATGTAATCCATCAGATGTAATAACTGATGTATTTAGGCTTTCATAATTAATGGCTATGCTTGTAACTTGTCATGCGTAATGTCACTTATACATAGTGATCAGTGTGTGTTACTCATATGTAATGGTTGACGTGTCATTTGTTTGGTCATTTGTCTCATTGTTGTGCTGTTTACATGCTTTCTGGTGTTTGCTTGTCGGGCCTTTTTAATGCAAATGACTCTTGTATGCAAACAACGTTTCTCTCTTTCCACTCCCATCGCCATCTTTGTCCACCTTAGGCTAGGGCTGGACTTTTAATCAAATAACTTCAATTATCATTTTGGCTTTCAACAATTATCAATACAAAATTATCGATATAAAACAATAATTGTGCCGCATTTGTGTGTCTTAGTTGAATGATATTTCAGGTTAGACACACCAGGGTAAGCAGAGAAAAAAACAGCAACAAATAAATTGTGATGGTAATGAGTTTTATAAGGAACCAAATAACGATCAAATAATAGAGAATAGCAATCCAGCAGCTAATACTGCTTGGACTTCCAATAATATGAACTATGGAAATATGTTATAAACACAATGGTAAGAAGATTTTCCTAAAGTTCTTGTTATTCCAGCTGACTCGCTGAGCTCATTCTCAAGTGCTAAACAAATTTACCACTGTACTCAGTGTTTCCATTACCCACAGTAGGCAGGGCGCTGTTAGTCCATCACTTTAAAACTATACACGCATGTATACCTTTAGAATGTACAAGTGGAGTTTTTATAGGAATTCGATGGCAATCAAATATTATAGGAAAATGTGCGAAGTTGTGCCATCAGGAGAAATCGGAGTGTATCTGGCAGTCAGCTCACAGAAAGTGGAATTGCCCCTAAAAGGCCATGTCCTTACAGACAGACACGAGTTTAATTAGTAAATTTGAAAGAGCTGAGTGTCTATGCAGGACGGTGACAGGAGCAGTGATTTATGGACGGTATGGCTGATGTAAACTTGACCCGTTGCAGTGTATCTCTCTCCTTGAACACCTTTCTTAAATCTCAAGAGGAAAAGTTTTTTTTTTTATTTAAAAAAAACAGTTCTAATTTACTGGAGTTGTTTGTATTTATTGACATGAAGCAGAAACTGCGTCTCTACATGTTTATCACGTCTCGTGTCCCTGTGTAATTATAGGGTGCAGAAGAGGCCAGCTCAGCTTTGAGTTGGTACCTGCCTTTTATTACCTGACATAAGATACTTTCTATATAATACTATAATCGCTTTAGTCATGCTGTAAGCCTTTGAAGACCAGGGCTGTTTGCCACTGAAATATCCACTCCTTATATTAATTAACAGTATTATGATCCGTCTGCTTGCCATAACTTCTTATTTAATGCAGATTCACAGTGAGCTTGAAGCACCAGTCCTGAGGCAAGTTACACCCTGCAATGGATGCCAGAGTATCACAGGGTTCTCAATCACAATAAGGACAATGTTGCTGGAATTTATATAGAGACTCTTTGCTGCTGTGCCTCATGTGACTCCCATCATATGACACATCCTGTTCCTTCATAGCAACATCCTGGAGCTAGAGAGAGTGATGGGGAGAGAGAGGGAAATTCTGCCGGTCTGTGTGCAGGCTTGGCTGAGATGTCTGAGGCCGGTGTGGGAGGGGAGAACGTCACAGAGCTCTAGCATCAGCCAATCCCTGCAGGATCCTGTCATGGGAATATCTCTGTAAACAGAGAGAGGCAGGAGGAAGAAAAACAGGCTTAGTTGACCGTGGAATATCTTGCAGGGAAGAAATTTCACAAACTGACTTATTGCAATTCACGCTTCAATTCGCTGAGCTTTTTAGAACGACCACTTCTTTCACAAATGTTTGTAAACCTGACTGCATGGCTAGGGGCTTGATTTTATACACCTGTGGCAATGGGTCTGAATGAAATAGCCGACTTCAGTGATTAAGAGGTGTGTCCCAATACTTCGGTCTGTATAGTATATGTCAGTTTGGATAGAAGTGTGATAAGTTAATGTTATGTACTAATTAGATGGAATTTCTGTTGGAGATGCATTATTTTCAGAAAAGACAATGAAACACTCGGTTTTCGAATGTATATACTTTTAATATCTTGGGTATCTAAATATTAGTGTTGAAGTGCATTAAGGGAGGAGACTGAGACAGACATCCTCAGAGTAATGGCCACGCAGGTGTGGAGTTACAGCTGATTGTGTTGATTTAAATATTGATGTTGTGGCTTTTTGCGCTGTTGACTTTCTGACTGAAAATGTAGATATGAGGTAACTTTGATCGTGGTTTTGTTTTTAAATTGGTGGCCACTGTGAAAGCATTGGTGAGTGAATGACAGTGATTGTCACAGGTGATTCTCTGGGTGGTACCATCAAAATGAGATTGATTACTGGCAGTGAGATGCTGATTTTCGTGACGCAGAGAAGTGTGTGATGAAACGGGCACATAGGTAATAAGTATCACAAATCACTGGTGCCGTTTGACTAGCTGAACATTTTCCCAGGTTAAAAGCCTCATGTTTGCTTTCAGTACCTCTTACGAGCCTTGAAATGACATTTCTGTGTGCTCACAGCTCACATTTCACAGTGGATGTGCAGGAACTGGGTCTGTTAGGTTATTTTTGTAACTTTGGTCAACCCAGATGATTGAAAGTTTTTTTTTTTTTTTTTTTTTTTTTTACTTTTTTACTTCCTCATCACCTGCTCTGTATGTATAAACGTTACAAGGATGACGACAATTGCCCTGTTTGCCTAAATGACCAGTCAGGTTGAGATCCTGATCTGTTCTTCAAACTAGCTTAGTATCAGTGCAATAATGTTTGGTTATGTGGCCATGTTTGGTATTGAAAGTGCAACAAACATGACCTTAGTTCCACTGTGTCCATTTATCAGCGTCTCTCGAGTTACTGTGATTTATATCTGGTACTACAGTGAGTAGTGGTGTTCGGGGTCCGTCAATTCTCAAACAAGTATTTAACACTCATCAGCTCTTCCTGAGTATCTCCACCTGTGTGTATGTGTGTGTGTGTGTGTGTGGCATGCACTCTCATTTATATGCAGGTATGTTTTGGAAACAGACTCTGTTTGTGTAAGTGTTGCACTTCCCAAGCCTTTGGCACCATTAAAGGACTGACCGACGTTCCTCCTGTAGGCTAATTAATTTCCTCAATGGGGTCTCATTACCCGTTTCCTTGCGCTGATCTTGCCATCTCCCCGGCATGGCTTCCCTGGTTGTTGGTTCCTCCTGGGTATCTGCATGGAACACTGAGTTCATGAGCTCTGAGTCTCCTGGGCAGGAGTCCCAGCTGTCCCTATATGAGCTCTCCGGAGTCCCACCCCCATCCAGCACCCTGCAGTGTGGCCCCACCCATTTTTAATGACCTGAGTGCTGGTCTCTCCTGCCACTTACCTGTAGTGACCGCCTTTCCTTTATATGTTGGCTCAGCTTTTCCTGGATTGGTTCCTCTAACTTTATATTGAAACCGACTTTTTAAAGAGTTTAAGAGAGGCTGGGCCTACTGTTTCAGTTCAGCTAGGAGTCCATAAAGGGGAACCCTCACAGCTAAAAGGAACAACAGTGATCTCCCTCGGAGTCCAAATGTTAAGTGGCACACGTACACCAGGCTTTGGTTCTAAATGTACGCACTCTTCTGTCTTCCTGAGAACCTGCCACTGATTTTTTTTCCCACTGCAGAGGACATTGTTTTTGCTCATATCTCTCATGCAGAATGAGTCCTATTCATTCTGTAAAAGGACATTTTGGATCTTGCAACATACGTGTAGGCCCAACATTTAATTTATGTTTAAAAAAAAAAAATATATGGCCAGCTATGCTATTAAATGTATCTGGCTCCTATGACAACTTAATTTCACTCCAGGGATTAATAAAGATCTGTCTGTTTCTGTATCTCCATCCTCATCTATCTAATCGTTCAGCGTTACATTTAAGATGCTGTTATGTCTTTATGGAAGCTTCCTACCACTGCTAATGCAGTACAGGACACAAGTGTTATTCTTTAGCTTTTAACCTTGGGCAGCAGCTGTAATATGGTTTCCCTGATTTGATAAGGTATTTTTAGAACTCTTTTGGAAATACTCTTTGAGACCAAGATAACCTTTAAAAAGCTTTGTTTTTAAAAATGTATTTATTCTGTACATTTGTGTTGGAGACATTTTGTAAATGAAAGTGAAAACACTGGACCAGTTACCCGCTGCTGTCTGATACCAGGTTGAAAATTGAGATCCAGTAAGAAAAACATGCTTGTGTATTTGCATATTTTATGGGTGTAAGACCCCTGTGTCTCTCTTTCTCTGTGTCCTTGATGGTTCTTTTTAACTGGATGGCTGTGATGACGCGCCTTCCTGTCCTTCCCCCAGCAGCGATGTCCGGCTTGCTGGTTGACGGCGAGGTGTTCGTGGGGGAGGCCCGAGGTGAGATGTCCCCGTGTAGCCCCAGGCGGCGGGCGTGCGCGCACCCTAGGGCGGGTCGTGGCCGGAGAGACGCGGCGTCGCTCAGCCCCTTGGAGGAGGCGCGGACGTCGGGAACGCTGCAGCGGGAGGTGCTGGGGAAGGCGACGGAGCTCTTCCTGCTCTGTGATAAGGAAAGAAAGGGGTTCATCACCAAAAGAGACATGCTGGTGAGCAGCTCCCCGTCTCGGACTGTCTTTCAGTCTTAGGACTATATTCTCTGTGTTTGTGGTGGTGTCTTTACTCCTTTGTATATTTATATGATCCATTTTTATGTGTGTTTCTGTCAGTCTGTCTCAGTATTTGTATCTTGCCTGTATATGCCTGCTCACATTATTGTGTGTCTCATTTTGTCATATATACAGTTTTATCTGGGATGTCTCTCCATCTTGTCCTGCTGCATCTCTGACTTTTTCCTCTTTCTTTAACTCGTTAGCGGTTACAAGGAGAACTTCCCCTGACTGCCGAGCAGCTGGAGTCTGTTTTTGAGAGTCTGGACCAGGAAAGAAACGGGTTCCTGACACCTGTAGAATTCCGGAAGGGCCTCGGTGAGTCGCCTCTTTCATCAGGCCAGCGTTAGATACAGGGGTGCCTCGTGTGTTCAAGGCCGGGCCATCGTGAAAATCTGCAGGCGTCCGAGGTGAGGTCTGCGTGCCTATTTCCAGGGGAGTTGGTGTTGGAACCCGAAGCAGAGGTGGAGGAGGAGGTGGGAGTGCAGAGGGTGGAGAGGGTGAACCCAGATGAGCAGAGATTCACCCAGACCTTGGTGGAGCTGGGAGTGGAGACTCTGCTAAAAGAGTGAGTCTGCGTGTTTGTTTTTGTGTCTCAGAGTTTGATTCACCAAAACCGGATACGTAACTCGACAAATCGTTTATGTGGCACAGCTGATAAAACAGGAAGCTGGGCGTCTGTAGACAGGAAATCCGGGTTTATCCTTGCCTGCACCATGAGTAACCTGGCTTTCGTCGCTTTAGTAGTTTGAGCTGTAATGCGCTTGAACGCTTTTACCAGAGTGAGTGCGTGCTGTGCAGCACCGTGGCTGAGCTCTTCTGTGTGCCGTGCTCTGCAGCGGTCAGTGGGAGGCGCATGTCCTGTGGCGTAGCCTCCGACGGGACCATCCTGAGCTGCTCTGTGTCCTGGAGGAGCTCCTGTCCCATGCAGTGTCTCAGATGAGGGATGCGATGAAAGAGAGGGACAGCTTAGAGCATGCTCTGCGCAGGTCTGTCTGTCTGCCTCTGTCTGCCTCTGTCTGTCTGCCTGCCTCTGCCTGCCTGCCTGTGACTGCCTCTGTCTGCCTGCCTGCCTCTGTCTGCCTGTGACTGCCTCTCTCTCTATTGTGAAAATCTTACATTGCTTTGTTACTCTGTCTCCTCTTCGCCTTCTGTGTCTTCTCACATCTTCTCCATCCCTCCGCTCCTCAGACGGGAGCTGGATCATGACCAGGTGGTACGCTCCATATACGAAGAAATGGAGAACCAGGTCAGAGAGGAGAAAGAGAAGCGACACACTGAAGTACGTCGTCACATGGGCTGTGTCCTTCACTGACGGGAGACTGTTATAATTATCGGTATTGTAAGTCTTCTTGATAACGATTCCAGAACAGCGTGAGGGAGAGTGACCGCTGCCAGCAGCTGCGGGAGCAGCTGAGGATACGAGGGCAGGAACTGGAACTTGCAGCTGCTAAACAGAAAGAGGTAAACCAGCAGGGGGCGATAGTATAGGTAGAGTTAATGGAGGCTATATAAATAAAATACATGCAGCATTAGATACTGAGTAGAAGTAATGCAAACTGTCTTTTATTCTGCAGTCACTGTACTGGTAGTGCAGACCAGTCATTGGTCAGGGAGTGTACACGCCTTCTCCGTGTCGTGTACACGCCTTCTCCGTGTCGTACACATGCCTTCTCCGTGTCGTCACTTGGACCCAAGCTGATTATGTGTGATGAGTGCCTCTGTCTCTCCAGCTGGAGGACATGGTGCGGATGCTGAGCTCTGAACAGATGGACACACGGGAGCAGAACCAGAAGGTCCAGTACCTCAACCAGCAGCTGCAGGAACAGCTGGAGTCCAGCAGGGCGGAGCTAGAGAGTGTAATGGGCCAACTCCAGCAGCTCCAGAGCACCTCCATTCATGAGCAGAGGGGGCGTGAGGGGTGAGCAGGAGACGAGCTGCTGGGCCCTGTCGCGTGTGCGTGTGCGTGTGTGTGTACACATCGTTTGGTAGTGATGTATCCTATGCAATTGGAACTTAAATGTACAAACAAACTTTTGATAATTGAAATTTACATCTTTCATGAATAACATAAAAAGCTTTATGGAATAAAAGCTTTACATGTAGATAATGTGTGTGCATGTCTTCATTGTTTACATTGTCTTTTAGTTGTTTGTATAGAGATTTTTTTTTATTGTCATCTAATAAGGAAATAATGCATGACTGACCTGTCGATCACTCTGTCCAGGAACGTGTTTAAGGTGTCCAAGAACATGCAGAAGGAGAAGGAGAGCTTGGTGAGACAGCTAGAGCTGCTTCGGTAGGTGCCCCTCTGTTTGGCTCCATCTTCTGGATCCCTGCGTCCTTGTCTGGTAAAACTACCAGAGTGCCGTGTACTTTGTTCAGTGTCAGACGACCTTGGTAAATGACTGACACAGTCAAGGTGTGTCCAGCTCAGGAGCTGAAGGCATGTGACTTATTACTGTTTGTTTGCTGGCTTTGCTCCAACAGTAGATTCCATTTCTGTTAATAAGTAGGCAAGATATAAGTGGGAATCGAGCTAAACCCAAGTCTGATTATTACTAAGTGCTGGAAAGAAGGATCTAGATCAGTGTTTCTCAACCCAGTCCACAGCGAACCCCAGCCAGTCCACGTTTTTACCCCCTACCAGCGCACCTGTACCAGCTATTCGGTGTTCCTGATTGGCTGGGAGCTGGGAGGGAGCAAAAACGTGGACTGGCTGGGGTTCGCTGAGGACTGGGTTGAGAAACACTGATCTAGATGGTCTGCTTAGTTCAAGTCTGTCTGTCCATATCTTCTTATCGCCTTTTACTAATTAAAAATTCTTCAGCTAATTTTCCCCAAACATGCTTCCTTTCATGTACTTTATAATGTGCTTATTTAAAAGACCAGTTTCTTTTTCATAGGGAGATGAACAAGAGGATGCGTGACGAGAAGGATGTCCATCAGTCTCACAGGGGGGTCTCTTACAGAAGTTCTTTCCACACGCTGGCCCCACTCCCACAGTGCAGCTGGGAAAATGGTCACCCCCTCTGGCTGCACACCTCCCCTCCCTACTGGCCTTATCCGCCACCAATGAAGTAGAGGACCATGCCATTCTCAGGGCTGTGAAGGGGTGTTCCGCTGTGTGAAAACTGTTTTGGTTGCTGTCGGAATTTGGTCTGCAATCAGACAACAGGGTTAGTGAATGATGTATAGCAGCACTAGGTAAAAACAGATACGCTCTTTTTCTAGACACAGGATACAGATGTATCCAAAATATTTAAGCTTGAAGTATATTAAAAGCAATAATGTTAGAGCTAATGATGATATTTTTGGAAAAGGACTGGTTAGTCTTTTAGGGAAATTAATGTCAGTTGTTACGGGACTGAAATTTCCTATAAAAAAAAAATAATAATAAAAAATGTTAACTGAACTTTGAAGAACTGATTGAAGACTATCAAGCTAAAAATCAATCCAGTGACAACCCACAGCTCAGGTGAACCAGAGTAAGCTTGGCAAGTTTTACTTCGTTCTGGTCCACTCTAAGTACTGTTTCTTCCCCGTTATCAAACACATCCAATGTAATCAGTGTCTGCTGGTTAAAACTTTAAGGTGTATTTATTCTATGCTAGTGTGCATCTCAGAATGACTTTTTTTTAATCAGGTTCAGCTGTCACATATGAAATATGATTAATGTGACTTGCATGGACTTCGAAGGGTAGGGAGGGTTTTTCTGTGTTTAATGGCCTTAAAATGACACCCCCCTCCCCCCCGCCTTTATTATTCAATGAATGAGAAGTGTGTAGAATTAGGGATGTTATGAAATAAGCTTCGATTGTGTGCTCCTTTTATAGCGACTTTAGGGTTATTTGTGTATCAGCTCCTACATCATTTCCCAGAATATGTTTTGGCTACTTTTTGTGGTAACTGTTACTTCTTGGCGGTATTTGAAATCGTTGCCATGGATATAACCTATAATCCAAAGTCTGCTCATGCAGGGTGAAATTTTTTTAATGTGAAACGTTTCTGAAATGTATGTCGCTCAGCCTTAAACGGTGCCTATCACACCATCCTTCATGTCTAGGTTCTGTAGTCAGGCTGTACTGGGTACATCTCTGACTGATATCGCTTATCAAGCAGTCATTTTGCTGGATTTCTTATACCTCAGTGTGCTCACAGAAGCTGGAAATGTGTGAATACTCTGAATTAAACTCACTGATTCCAACGGCTCATTTTTCATGCCCTTCACGAGCTGCGGTTCCACTATAAACTTCAAAATGCTGCTGATGCTCTGTTCCAGCCATCTTTGTTTATTCCTCAGTCAGTGAATCTAAACCTTAGTCCTTGAATCACGGCTCATTTTTGTTGCCAGTGTCAATTTCTAACAGAGGAATTTTTTTTGTTATTGTGGATAATTGTTTTAATGATTGTCATTAGTCTTCATTTCATTAGAATAAAGCAGAGCTGAGAGCAAAGGCGAGATTCCTGCCCCTGACTCTGGTTCGTTTGATTCTTTCCTGGGATTTCTAAAGTGCTTACTAAGGTCAATTGATGTAAAACTGAAGACTGTTCCAATGATCTATGCAAGCTTGAGGAGGCAGTATCTGTCCATATTTCAATGTACATCCATATGTATGTTGTT